ATATATATACACACACACACACACACACACACACACATATATATGTATATATAAACAATAGAAATATATGTGTGTTTATATATTATATATGTGTATGTATATTTTTATATATGTGTGTGTATATATTATATGTGTGTGTGTGTGTGTGTATAATAAAAATGAAAAAGATGTTCTAATTCCCAAAAACCTTCAAGAACTCTAAATCTTAATTCTGATAAAACAGCTCTGTGAAATATATACCACCAAACAGTACTATCATACCACAGATAAATGCTAATTTGAATGACCAGCCCAAATCGCTCCAGATTCAAATGTCCAGCTGCTCGTTCAGTATCCCCATTGGATTAACAGGTGCTTCAAACTTACTGATTCCCAAACAAAACTCTATCTTTTTTCCCTAAACCAACTCTACTCTTCCTCATCTCTGAGGTGGTTTCTCAGGATAATTAACCTGAAATCATTCTTGACTTCTCCCTTTCCTTTACATCCTATATTAAATTCTATTATAAAATATATCCAGCCAGGCGTGGTGGCACACACCTGTAATCCCAGCACTCGGGAGGCTGAGACAGGAGGATCTCTGTGAGTTTGAGACCAGCCCGAGCTACACAGTGAGTTCCAGGTCAGTCTCAACTACATAGTGAGACTCTGTCTCAAAAAAAACAAAAACAAAAACACCAAAAAAACAAAACAAAACAAAACAAAACCAAAAACAAAAAATGTATCCAAAATCCTACCATTTATCACTTTTACCACTGAGACTCCAAGCCATCCACCACTCTTGCTGGGCTATTGCAGCAACATTTTCATGGTCTGTTGTTGGCGCTCTTGCCCATGTTTCACATTCAATCTACTCCAAAGAGCTACCAAAGCGATCCCTTACACCACTGTTTAAAACATATTTAGAATAAATTCCAAAGTCCTTATCACAGCCTACAGGGCACAACACAGTCTAGTCCCTGGCTCTTCTCCAATGTCACCCCTTGTCACTCTCTCTCCCTTGCTCACTTGACTCCAGAAACTGGCTTTCTGCCATGCCTTGGCAACCATCATGTTTGCTTTATCTTTCTGAAGCCTCTGCACATTCTGTTGCCTCTCCTTGAACACTCCAGAAATTGTCATGACACAGTCTCTCACTTTGAACCTAGGCTCAAATCTCAGTGCCTTACAGAAAGCCTTTTCTGACCACCCTATCTAAAATAACCACATTTCCCTCACACCTGTCACTATAGCCCCTTGGTTTTTCTTCAGAGCACTTATTACTATTTCATGTAGTAGCACAATTATTTAAATATGTTCATTTCATCTCTCCCACTCTAGAATGAACAATAATAATACTGATAGAAATAATTATAGCTGAAACACCTTTTTTGCTTGCTTGCTTGTTTGTTTTTTGAAAAAAGGTCTCATTATGTAGTCCAGGCTGGCCTTGAACCCACTATGTAGCCCAGACTGGCCTAAAATTCACAGGATCCTTCTGCCTCAGCCTCCAAAGTGCTGAGATTAGACAGGTGTGGTGGCACATACCAGTAATCCCAGCACTCGGGAGGCTGAGGCAGGAGGATTGCTGTGAGTTCGAGACCAGCCGGGGCTACATAGTGAGTTCCAGGTCAGTCTCAACTACATAGTGAGAACCTGCCTCAAAAAATAAAAACAAAGTGCTGAGATTACAGGCATGCGGCACCACTCACGTTTGCAGAACCACCTTTAAATGATCACTAAGAACTAGGCAGTTAAAATGTTCACAGGTCTTAGTTCATTCAAACCTCAAAGGAACCCAGTAAGGTAAGTACTATTACTATCTGCACTTCACAAATGAGAAAATGAAGGCCCAGAGATGTTAAGCAATGTACACCCAATTACCAGATCACATGGCTACTAGGTGATGGAGCTGAGACTCAAACCATAGCAAGCAGCTTCTAGAAA